TTTCTGAATATTAAAAAGAAATAGATTGGGTATGGTGGCTCATGCCTATAATCTCAGCACTTTGGGAGGCCGAGGTGGGCGGATCACTTGAAGCCAGGAGTTTGAGACCAGCCTGGTTAACATGGCAAAACCCCATCAATAATAAAAACACAAAAATTAGCTGGGGTTGGTGGCACGCATCTGTAGTCCCAGCTACCTGGGAGGTTGAGGCACGAGAACTGCTTGAACGCGAGAGTCAGAGGAGGTTGCATTGAGCTGAGATAGCACCACTGCACTCCAGCCTGGGTGACAGAGTGAGACTGTCCCTCCTATCCCCCAAAAAAGAGAGTCATCCAGAAAAATTTTGTAAAAATTAAATTGTTGATGTCTACATCAAATTTACTCCATCATAATATCGGCAGGGGTGGGGCGGGGGCGGTGACCCATAGTTTTCAAAACTCTCCTACCTGTTCTGACCAGTTAAGTTTGGGAACCACTTCTTCAGGCACTATATTTGTTACAAAGGGAGCTGAAAACTTCAATCTTTTAGGCTTGTTGCTAATCTCTGACTAGAATGCTTCTGCTGTGAAGTAAAAGTTTTCCGTTAATTGTGTGGAGTGTGGATATAAAAGCTGGACTGTTTACTCTAGTCTTAAAGTGTCTGCTACAGTTGTGGTTAGAAATGTTTCAGGTGGGTTTTTCAAGTAGCTTTAAGTGGAGTAGTAGTACTCCACTGAAATATTTGAGATTGTTACCTAAGGGGCAGATGCATGTAATTGATTACTTTTTTCCTTCTGTTCTTTAACTCATGCAACAGTGTGGAGTTTTGCGTTTGGAGATTTGGAGATTGCTGTGGAAAAATGGATGCCCTCCTTTTGCGTGCATCTCCCCCATTGTACTTTTTTCCCCTAACCTTTATCTTTCTTTTTCAACATTTGAAAACTGATAACATTTGTTTTGAGACGGAGTCTCGCTTTGTCGCCCTGGCTGGAGGGCAGTGGTGTGATCTCAGCTCACTGCAACCTCTGCCTCCCGGTTTCAAGTGATTCCCCTTCCTCAGCCTCCCAGATAGCTGGAATTACAGGCGCACACCGCCACGCCTGGCTAATTTTTTGTATTTTAGTAGAGACAAGGTTTCACCGTGTTGCCCAGGCTGGTCTAGAACTCCTGAGCTCAGGCAATCCACCCGCCTTGGCCTCCCAAAGTGCTAGGATTACAGGTGTGAGCCACTGTGCCCGGCCTTGATAACATTCTTAAAGATTAAACATGGTATATTCTCAGCACTGTTGCTGGCCACTTAAGTATAAAGTGTGATCAGAGTTAATCCATCACTGGAGTGTATATATCAGATGCTATTTCCAGTCATATAACCTTACGTTTTCCCTTAGATTTGTCACCTTCAAAAAGCAAATGCTTGTTTTTGAAGCAGAGTCCCTGTATAAATGGGGGAATATTGAAATAATGCTTGCCCCTTTAACTTTTAGTTTTTCTTTTTGCTGTTTAGGTTTTAGGTAAGGGTTTTTTTTTTGTTTTTTTGCTTGTTTTTTTTGGTTGGTTGTTTTGTGTTTTTCCCTCTTCTCTATGCCTGCTGCACACAGAGAGAGGGTGCAAAGTTTAGGTATGTCTTAAACAAATGTCACAAAAAACAACAGCTTGTATTCATCAGTCACTGATGACTTAGTGTGTCTATCTTAAAACTTGACCCGACTGAGCAGCCACTGCTGCTGCTGCCACAATGCCAGGTTCCAGCCTCAGTCACCCTCCACTGTCCAGGGCCCCTCTGTCTTGGTCCTGGGACCCTAGCTCCCTGCCAGCCCCAGTCCCAACACCATGTTGGAGAAAAGTGTGGAGGCAGTGGCTGAGTTGGGCACCAAGGACATGAAGGAGAAGGTGGAGGAGAAGGCAAGCCAGAAAGAGTGAAAGAAGGAAGTGGTGGAGGAGGAGGAGAACAGGCCCAAAGAGGAAGATGATGATGATGAAGGGCCCGAGCTTAAGAGAGCTGCTGAAGAAGAGGATGAACCGGATCCACAGCAGCAGAAGACAGAATGGGGCATCGGCATGAGCTCCTGCCAACAGGCTGGGGATGGGAGGCCTCTCTGGGCCTGGAGGTTGGGTGGGAGCAGACAAGTCCAGCCTCTCTTCACCTGGCTCCCTGCTCTGGGCCCTGCACCAGAGCCCCCACCCTCTTCTTCCTACCCAGCTTTCTCATTTCCACCTCTCCAGACACTGACCCCTCCATCCTCACTCTGCCATTGTTCCACCACCTCACCTGCTCCATCTGAGCTCCCCAGCTGGCCCCAGTTGCTCCTATCTCTTTGTTTTCTTGTTGCCTCCCTCCTGCCTAACCTCTGCATCCCTAGCCTCATGTCCTGCCCCATCCCTATCAGCTGCCTGGGATCTCCCTCAGATTCCCTCCTTTCAGACAGCGCCAGTCTAGGGGTGGGACCAAACCCCACAGCTGCCCCCCTCCCCTCCCTTTCTTGTATAGTTTTTTTTTTTTAAATTATAAACAGAGTTTGGCTCTTTTGCCTAGACTAGAGTACAGTGGCACGATCTCAGCTCACTTCAACCTCTGCCTTCCAATTTCAAATGATTCTCCTGCCTCAGCCTCCCAAGTAGCTGGGATTACAAGCACCCACCACCACACCTGGCTGATTTTTGTATTTTTAGTAGAAACGGGGTTTCACCATGTTGGCCAGGCTGGTCTCGAACTCCTAATCTCAGGTGATCCACCCGCCTCGGCCTCCCAAAGTGCTGGCATTACAGGCATGAGCCACTGCTACCAGCTGCCTTTTTTGTATAGTTTAATAAAGAAATGGTCATCCTTAAAAAACAAACAAACAAACAAAAAAAACACTTGACCCTAAAACCACAAAGTAGTATTAATGCCTAAGAGTATGTCCTATTCCTAATAAAATGTTTTTGGATAATTCATTTGTGCAGTGCTTGGAGTTTGTCAGAAGTAGGATTGAATGAGTATGATGAAAATTCTGATATCTGATTCTTGGAACATTTGCTTTCACTACTAAAATATTTACAGAATTATGAAATGAGAAGCTTGAAAAACCAGTTTGAAAAAGAGTAAGATTTGTTTGATAATATTTTAGCTTCTGATTTTCACATTCACCTTAGTAAATTTTCTGTTTACATTGTAAAGATGACTTTCATCAACTTCTGTTTCAGAAATTGCTTTTTAAATTTTAGTTGAATGTGAAGAAGAAAGGGAAGGTTTGTTACTTACATAATCTTTTCAATTTCACAAGGCATTTATGTTTTCCTTTTTGATCCTGGTTATTTTCCTTGGAGACTTCTTTGAAATGCTCGTGATAGTATTCAGCTAACTTTAGATGTTTTTAGTGCAGGTACATTGAGAAAGCAATTTTTAAATAGCTTGAAACAACTCTGTGGAACTGTTTTACTTTCCTCAATTTCACTTTCGAATTTAGTAGATAAATTCGTAATGGAAAGTAGTCTCACGTGATTTTAACTTCCTGTTACACAGGTCTCCATTTGAGCCCCTTTCCTTGGGATGTATGATTCTAAAGGGGATCATGGTTTTTAAAACTCTTCTTTGTTAGTCTGTCTTGTGTTCGCCCTTTGAATACTGCTTTAGAGGTAATGTTTTGGCCTTTTCCATGTTTGTCAAGATGGAGTGATAAAGTATGTCAGTGATTTTGAAGGTGTTTCAAGAAAGGCCAGGTAGAGGGACAAACTAATTTACAAGAACTCTTAAGCTGTAAGAAGCTATTTCTATCAATGATGTAAAGAAGAAATCATGTAAATCATTTTAGCTTAATTCCACTACTGAGTTTTCCTGTTTTTTGTTTTTTCTGGATTAGATTCCTAAACCCTTGCCCTCTCCCATAGTACTTGGATCAAGCTCTAAATGTACTTGATTCACATACTTTCCACATTATATTGAACTTAGTTATTGCCTCTCTTTTTTTAAATTAATTATACATTCCTTATGGTTAGAATGGGTTGGTGTATTTCCAGTTATTAAGTTTTTTAATTCCCAAAATGGAACCATACCTTAAACACGTTAGGTGCTCATTTAATGTAACTTGGGAGATTAAGAATTTGATTTGTTAATCTCTTATTATAATACTTCTAGTTTATGTTTGTGTGAATCTGCAAAACTAATGTAAAACTGAGAGATTATTTGAATGGCAAGTATCATGGGGCTTTGCTAAAATGATCTGTTCTTGAACTTGATTTCTATTAAGATATGCAAAGGTCTTAAATCTTTGCCTTCTAAAAAGATGTAGGTAGTTTGGCCGGGCATGGCGGCTCATGCCTGTAATCCCAGCACTTTGGGAGGCTGAGGCGGGCGGATATCTGTGGTCATCAGTTCGTGACCAGCCTGGCCAATATGTTGAAACCCTGTCTGTTCTAAAAATACAAAAAGAAAAATTACCTGGGTGTGGTGGTGAAGGCCTGTAGTCCCAGCTGCTTGGGAGGCTGAGGCAGGAGAATCGCTTGAACCCAGGAGGTGGAGGTTGCAGTGAACTGGGATCGCACCATTGCACTCTAGCCTGGGCTACAAGAGCAAAACCCTGTCTCAAAAAAAAAAAAAAAAGAGAAAGAAAAAGCCAGGCACAGACATGGTGGCTCACGCCTGTAATCCCGGCACTTTGGGAGGGCGAGGCAGGTGGATCAGCAGAGCTCAGGTGTTCGAGACCAGCCTGACCAACATGGTGAAACCCTGTCTCTGCTAAACATAGAAAAATTAGCCAGGTGTGGTGGCTATTTCCTGTAATCCCAGCTACTCGGGAGGCTGAGGCAGGAGGATGGCTTGAACCTGGGAGGCTGAGGTTGCAGTGAGCTGAGATCGTGCCATTGCACTCCAGCGTGGGCAACTAAAGTGAAACTCCATCTCAAAAAAAAGAAAAGAGTTAGGTAGTTTGATGAAACACGTTTGTACTTTAGCCAACTGGGGACTCTGGGTTAAAAACATTGCTTTTCTAGATTATGGTAACAGGTTTTTAATTTCTTTTTTTTTTTCTTTTCCTTTTTTGCAGTTGGAGTGCCTCAAGCTTATTGCCTCTCAAAAATTTACAGACAAACGCATTGGCTATTTAGGGGCAATGCTGCTGTTAGATGAAAGACAAGATGTCCATCTTCTCATGACCAACTGTATCAAGAAGTAAGTCTTACTTTTCTTTCTTCTAACAACTATTAAATACTTTGTTCTTTTTTGTATTTTCTTTGAGATGGAGTCTCGCTCTTTTGCCCAGGCTGGAGTGAAGTGGTGTGATCTTGGCTCACTGCATCCTCCTCTGCTGCCACCGCCCTCTCCCGCTCCCCGCCCCGACCCGGGAAGTGATTCTCCTGCCTCAGCCTCCTGAGTAGCTGGGATTATAGGTGCCTGCCACCACGCTTGGCTAATTTTTGTATTTTTAGTAGAGACGGGGTTTTGCCATGTTGGCCAGGCTGGTCTTGAACTCCTCACCTCAGATTATCCACCCGCCTCGGCTTCCCAAAGTACTAGGATTACAGGCTTGAGCCACTGCGCCTCACCTACTTGGTCTTTTAAGTCTTTTTTGTAATATAATATCAAGAACTTCTATTTACTGAGTTTATATTTACTTTCCAGAGTATATTTGAATTGCTCTTAGTTCAGTAGTTTATACGTAAAGAGGTTAAGCAAAGGGTTAAAATTTGTGTAGGAGGCTGGGTGCAGTGGCTCATGCCTGTAATCCTAGCACTTTGGGAGGCCGAGGCGGGCAGATCACGAGGTCAGGAGTTCAAGACCAGCCTGGCCAATGTGGTGAAACCCTGTCTCTACTAAAAATACAAAATACAAAACTAACTGGACATAGTGGCACGCTCCTGTAGTCCCAGCTACTCGGGAGGCTGAGGCAGAAGAATCTCTTGAACCTGGGTAGCTACTCAACCTCCCGAGTAGTTGGGATTATAGGTGCCCGCCACCACGCTTAGCCAATTTTTACAGTTTTAGTGGAGATGAGGTTTCACCATGTTGGCCAGGCTGGTCTCGAACTCTTGACTTCAGGTTATCCGCCTGCCTTGGCCTCCCAAAGTGCTAGGATTATAGGTGTGAGCTCCCCCCCACCACCCACCAAGTTTGCTGAGTTTTCTAAAGTGTGTGTCTTTGACATCCAGTAGATAATATGTTTTTCAACAACTTCTGCTTTGGTACCTGAAAACATTGGCTTGTAAGCCTGGTCAGTCCGTTTACTGTATTGATAATATGTAATAAAGTTGGGATAAACATTTTCTGCAATAAATAATTTTATTAATTGTTTTTGTTGATTGGAGAAATCTTGAGTTATTCTGCACTAGTTTGAAATTGTGAAGCTGCTTCTTGGGGAGCACCAGGCAGAGCATGCTTGTTCCTACCTTCTTCTTTTCTTTTGCAGTGATCTTAATCATAGTACGCAATTCGTCCAGGGGTTAGCACTTTGTACCCTCGGCTGCATGGGCTCCTCAGAGATGTGCAGAGATCTTGCAGGAGAGGTAGAGAAGCTCCTGAAAACCTCCAACTCTTACTTAAGAAAAAAGGTAACTCTTAATGAACCAAATGTCTGTTTGGATTAGGGAGTATTATGGAGATCAGAAGGCAGATTACTAATTTTTGAAAGATCTGATGATAATGTCATTTTTTCTGTGCAGTAAATTTATTTTACATGATTTTATATTAACCTTAATTCCTTTTTTTTAAGGAAATGATTTATAAACAAACAAATGTCACTGGATATATCCTAGGTGGCATACCAAATTCCTAAGTTATCTGATTCTAAACAGTATTACAACAAGGTGATTATGAACAGATTTTTATGAATTTACTTTTGTCCTAATAATTAGTGCCCATATCTTTGTATTAGTGCCTTTGTATCTCTGGAAGGGCAGTTCCATTGGTACCTAGATAATTATTAGGGAGTGATGTAGAACCCACTTTCCGAATGAATTAGTAATAGAAGAGAATTATTCTTCTATCTGATTTTATTTGTTGATATAAACATTTTATTGAGTTTTTAAAAATTGCTTGAACCCTACAACCTTTGAAAATGAAGTGTATGGAATTTAGAAGTCCAAGAAATGAACATAAACTGTGATCCGTTTGGCATTTACTGTGCCTCTCTATTAATGGTGTGGGAAAGAGGCATTGAAAGGGCCAAACCATTTCCCAGGATGATATGCAGTTAATGATGGCTGCAAACAAAGTTAAATTATTTTTTTAATTTGTAAGCTGGTCCTTTTTCTTAAAGAATATGTGAGCTACTCTTGTTCAGAAAACTCATTATCATATTAAAATGAAATGTACCTTCAGGTTAGAAAAAAAAAAATTTTTCCTCCCAAATATAACATGGGTGGAATTAGTAGAAATTTTTTTTGTTAATACATCTAACTTTTATGGTATTTGACTCAAACATTTAGTAGTTATAGTTACTTTGCGGAATATGCAAAATCAGTGTTTAAATGTACTTTTATTTTCCAGTGAACAAGCTAGTAAGACCATCTTTAGTAGAGACTAAGTATTTTTCACATGATTTTCTTGATGTCAGCAGAGTCATTTGAGGGCCACATAGATATTATTAAACATAACAGTAGATTTATAGCATTTACAGTATATATCTTTCAGTTGTGTAATGTTTTTTAGCCTGTTAGTCATCTCACTCAGAGGTATGATTATCACAGATTGAGATCCTTATCTATTTTTACTTCTTCAAAACTCCACATAAGTTATGTTTAACTTGTTTGATAAATTCATATTAATCATACATAGTCTAATGTAGAAAGTTTTTGCCTACTTGTCTAGGCAAAAGGGAGAGCCAGAAGATCTCTTTAATATAATAGTATAAACTGGAAATCCCCAACCAGTTAATAAATACTTTTCTCTCCTCTTAATTTTTTTTTTTTTTTTTTTTTGAGACGGAGTCTTGCTCTGTTGCCCAGGCTGGAGTGCAGTGGCGCGATCTCGGCTCACTGCAAGCTCCACCTCCTGGGTTCACGCCATTCTCCTGCTTCAGCCTCCCCAGCAGCTGGAGTACAGGTACATGCCACCATGCCCAGCAAGTATTTTTAATTTTATTTTTAGTAGAGATGGGGTTTCACCGTGTCAGCCAGGATGGTCTCGATCTTCTTTACCTTGTGATCCGCCCGCCCCGGCCTCCCAAAGTGCTGGGATTACAGGTGTGAGCCACCACGCCTGGCCTCCTCTTAATTTTTTTTTAAATAGAGGCAGGTTCTTAATGTGTTGCCCAGGCTGTTCTTAAACTCCTGGGCTCAAGTGATTCTCCTGCCTTGGGCTCCCAAAGTGCTGGAATTATAGGAGTGGGCCATCACCGTGACCAGCCGTAAATCTAATATCTAACCTCTTCTTTATTTTTCTAGTGGATGAACAAGTTGGTGAGATTTTTGTGTTGGTGGTTTTTTTGTAAGATTGGTTGCCCTGGCATAATTGAAATAAACCTTTTGTTCTTTTATTGTTTTTTTTATAGGCAGCACTATGTGCTGTTCATGTCATCAGGAAAGTTCCTGAACTTATGGAGATGTTTTTACCAGCAACAAAAAATTTATTGAATGAGAAGAACCATGGTAATGTAATTTGGATGCATTCATGAAGTACTGAGGGAGAAAGGGAAAGAGAAAAGGCTTGAGGCTGTGTTAGTCCTGTGTCTCTCAGTACAGTGGGGTCACCTTTCTGCTGTGCCTTAGACACTTTTCCAGGAAGGTCTGGTCTGACAAACCTTTCTACTCACATATCCTAGTTTTATATTAGAGATTGATTCTTTCATAGTAAACTTATCTTTCATCTCTGGTCCTCTTTTACTATATTAAAAATATTAAGTTATTAATATCTAGTGTAATATACAAATGAGCCTACCCATAATTTTCATGTGTAAAATCCTTTGATTTCTTGCCTATTTTACAGTAAAAGAAAAAATTTCATTATCATGTGGTAGGAGTGTAAGATTTGTGCGTCTGGGCGTAGTAGTTCATGCCTATAATCCCAGCAGTTTGGGAGGCCAAGGTGGGCAGATCACTTGAGCTCAGGACCAGTCTGGCCAACAAAGTCAGAACCCATCTCTGCAAAAAATATGAAAATTAGCTGGATGTGGTGGCACATGCCTGTGGTCCCAGCTACTTAGGAGGCTGAAGTGTGAGGATGGCTTGTGCCTGGGAGGCAGAAGTTGCAGTGAGCCAAGATTGTACCACTGCACTCTAGCCTGGGCTACAGAGCCAGACCCTGCCTGACTCAAAAATTGTGAAAATTCTTTTGGGTTATTTCTGACGGAAGCTTGTATTAGGTACTCAGAATCTTTATATAAAACAGAGGAGTTAAATGGAATGTGGCTGTTCTTTTCCCAAACATTTTATTCTTATTTGAAGTCAGTGAAATAAGTTTTTGAATAGAGAAAATTCATGTGTCTTAAATGCTCAGAGAAAAAATTGTGTGGTATATTTAATTTGACAAATTCAGTGCTGTGCCCAGAATGCTCCAAATATACTTGTTGAACAACTGAATTACTTAGAGCACATATTTATTACTTAGTGAAAAGAAAAGCATTGTGAGATTGTTTTTACTGACTCTGGAGCAAGTAAATTTACTTTGTCATCCACAGTTAATCTCAGAGTTTTGATACGTTTTATCTGGAAATTTAAAATCTTACTAAGATTTTTGCCTCTTGAATTATCTGTTAGAACTCAGATAATAGCTGATTAAGTATAGAACAGATGATACCTAGCTTACATTGTATGTTTTTATGGATATTCTCAGATGGAGAGACACATGTATTGGTCATCACTTTTTAATAATTATTTTGGTCACATAATTATTGAAAACATTACGATTTTACTGACTTGGCCAGTTTTAAATCGGGTATCTATTAAGTTCCTCCTTTGTATTCACTTCAATGCTTAGATTCTTTAGGGGATTAAAAAGCAAAAGTAGCAACTATCCTTTTGGAATTGACCTTCAGGAACTCAAAGCCCTGTTCTATAAAACTGAATAATAGGCCTCATTTTTAGTTTTCCTTTGATCTTTTCTTTCAGGTGTCCTCCACACATCTGTAGTCCTCCTCACAGAAATGTGTGAGCGAAGCCCAGACATGCTTGCGCATTTCAGAAAGGTAGGTGCCATTCTCTATGCCTAAGCCTTTCTTGATTGAAAAATGATTTTCCTGAAAAGTACATGATTTTCTTACTTATTTATTTTTTTGAAAGCAAGCTATGGATCTGAATAAGGGTTTTAGCTAGCCCTGCTGTGCAGTTGGGCTGGAAGCCAGATTTAGGCACATAAGTAAGAGCTGGCACTAGTATTGTGTTTTTCTTTTCAGGATAGAAGTTTTCTCTCATTGTTGGCAGACACACGAATCTCACGTGTTTTATCTGCTGTTTTCACATTTGAGTCAGGAAACATAATCTGAGGTCAAATTAAAACTAGGAGTTTTGTGTGTGTGTGTGTGTTTTTTTGTTTTTGTTTTTGTTTTTTTGAGACGGAGTTTTGCTCTTACTGCCCAGGCTGGAGTACAGTGGCACGATCTCGGCTCACTGCACCCTCCACCTCCTGGGTTCAAGCGATTCTCCTGTCTCAGCCTCCCGTGTAGCTGAGATTATAGGCATGCGCCACCATGCCCATCTAATTTTTGTATTTTTAGGAGAAACGGGATTTCACCATGTTGGCCAGGCTGGTCTTGAACTCCTGACCTCAGGTGATTAGCCCGCCTCAGCCTCCCAAAGTGCTGGGATTACAGGTGTGAGCCACTGCTCCTGGCCTGTTTTTTTTTTTTTTTTTTTAAGACAGGAATTTCTTTTCTATTTTTTTAAGGTTAAAACTAAAAGTTTTTTTATTGCTTTTCCCCTACTGTTCATTTTAGGCCATTGACTCCTGTGATGGAAGTCCTAGCTATCTTAAGTACCCCCTTCTCTCTCTCCCTCTTTTTTTTTTTTTTTTGAGGCAGAGTCTCGCTGCGTCACCCAGGCTGGGGTGCAGTGGTGCAATCTCGGCTCACTGCAACCTCTGCCTCCTGGGTTCAAGTGATCTCCTCCCTCAGCCTCCCGAGTAGCTGGGACTACAGGTGCCCGCCACCACGCCCAGCTAATTTTGTTTCGTATTTTTAGTAGAGACGGGGTTTCACCATGTTAGCCAGGCTGGTTTCGAACTCTTGACCTCAGGTGATCCACCCGCCTCAGCCTCCCAAAGTGCTGGGATTACAGGCGTGAGCCACTGCGCCCGGCCTATATATTTTTTTTTTAAACTAGTATTTTAAAGTGGACATTTCTATTTCTCCACTTAATTTTAGAAGACAGTAGTAAGGAGCACTCAGAGGAAGACTGTTCTTTGGGTAGTTACATGCATTGAACTTCTTTTATAGGATGCTGGTCATTCCATAAATAGGACTCGCTTTGTACTTTAGATCTAGTAAGGCTCTAACAGGAGTTCTTTTTTGGCTTTTTTTCCCTTAGATGTTCATGTCTTGATTAAATTATTGTAATATAGTATGAGACCCGTATCTGTCCCTAATGCTTGCTTTGTATGTTTTGTTCCTGTTGTCTGTTTGGAATCCTGCTGTATGTTAGAATGAAAAGGTAAGAATTAACCCTCTTTTAGATGGTGCATGCTGGCATTAGGTCCTTAGTAGCTTTTGTGTGTCCATCCACAAATGTGGCTTTTAAAATATACTAATGCTGAAGCTGTGCTTAATACTGTGAGTTATTGTTCTAGCATTTTTGGCTAACTTCCTAGTCTAGTTTTTGTTTTGTCACTTAAACTCCTGACTCCAAAGTCAGCCTTGGATTTCAGTTGCAGCCTTTCCTGAATTGTAAACCTTCTTCTCTGCCTTTTCTTTATCTTTACTTGAGAAACTTTGAGCAGTTTTCCAGTGACTTTGGTGATGGCAATTCCAGATCAGTCTGGAGCTTTGACACAAAATGCTACTGCTTTTTGAAGTAGATATTTTAGAACAGTATGTGGGTAACCTCATACTTTAAAAAGCTCTGTATGTACTGCTGAGCTTTCAGTTCAGACTTAGAGCTTTTATTTCTCCCTTACCTGTACTTACTCTTACATAGAAGTTTTGAAATTTTAAAAGGATTTTGAGGTAGAGTAGTGGGCACCAACTGATTTTCATGGCTGCAGCCTTTCCCTATGTCATCTTATTTTGTTTGTCCTGTCGTCAGTTTTAATAACTTGCATTTTTGTCTGAAAAATGAAACTGGGTTCCAAGAATTGTATGCTGAACATTCAGACATTTGTGCTCTGTGTCCCAGGGTAATCTTATGTGATGTGCTGGCCTTTTGGCAGTGGATAAAACAATTTCTGAATTTAGTAGCCCAAGGAAAAATGACTTTTCCAAGAAATAAACCAGATAAAAAATAACTTGGGTTATATGTAGTACAAAAAAGCAGACCATTGGGAAGTGTGCAAAATAAGCTTGGTAACTACTTGGTCTTCATTTTATTATAAAAATATTGATTTAAAGCGGTTTTAAAAGGTATATTACTATCTCTAATATAACTTTGCCCATAGTTGACAGATGTAATGAATTTACAGATCTCCATGGCTTAGATTTGTCTTATTTGGAGTTGTCCAAATTAGACTTTGTTTAGGTGACTTATAAGAATTAATTCCGAACTGTTATGGCTCAACTTATTTAAATTCATACATACTGTGTTTTCTTGTATTTAGAAGTGGCCTTAATGTTTTGAATGGTTTGAGTGCATGTGTTGGATATAGCTTGGCTTTTCATCTCAGTCTTGATCCTCTTTTAGGCTTGAGAAGTAGGGAAGGGACAGAGTCTAAATACAGTGAGAAAAAATAATTGAATTGCAGCAGAGTTGTAGCTAAAATTGCCTGCAAAAGAGATGCAATGCAGTTCACTTTGTACCCTTTTTAACTTAATTTTTGGTCATTAAAGTTGTTTATATAGCTAAAAATTGAGTTTTTAGTTGGAAACGTAAGAAGTTCCTGTTGTGGCAAACCTTTTGTTTTAATATCAAGTAATTGATCAACAGAAATGAAATGAGTGCCGATATTTAAAACATCTTTGGCTTGACAGTAAAATTGCCTTTACAATGTGTTAGGACTCTTAATGGATAAAGTAAAGGAAGGACAGGAAGGAAATTCCTGATTATAAGGAATGTATAGTCTCATTAAAAAGATAAGAAAACAGACCACAAAGCTGTATATGTAAATAAGTCCTGAAATTTAAAAAAATTGTATCATATGAGTTAAGAATAGGAAGAGGAAATTATTCATGGCCTTGATATCTCTTAAGATGAAAGATGTAATTTTTTCATGTGTCTTTTCCATTTGATTACCGTATTACTGTTGTCAGCTTTGGTATTCCCTGTTGTTTGTTGGAAAAGGGTATAACTCTTCTATCTTAAGAGAAGAGTTTTTTTTTCTCTGTTTGAGGTTGTATGTTCTAAAGCTATAATGTTAATAAGATCACCAGTTGTATTTTGGTGTGATGACATGTTATATGCAAATGTTTGAATGGATGAAAACTGAACATGTTTTTGCCACCTAGGCATGTCAAGTTCTGCAGAAGTAGAAATGCAGTACGCCCCACAGGCATCTGTTTTACCTGGTTCCCATAGGCTTTCTGACCCAGTAATATTTGTAATATCTTCACATATAACTCTGGCATAAAAAAGTCTGGTTTGGTTTTATCCAGATAAAATACATACTACTTCTTGAATATTGGCCTAATTTACTCCTAAGTTTATCAAACATCTACAGTATGCTAGTATATTAAATCACTAGAATTTGCTTGGACTCGGACCCTTACACCCTTTTTCTAAACCAAAGGACCTGCTTATTCATGAGACATTCTTCAATATTCACTGTTTTTTTGATGCATCTTTCTCTGCAGCTTGTGCCCCAATTAGTTCGTATTTTAAAGAACCTCATCATGTCCGGATATTCACCAGAACATGATGTTTCTGGTATCAGTGACCCCTTTTTGCAGGTGAGGTTGAAAGAATGTTTTAAATAAATGTTATATGAATTTAATATCTTTTAAGTAGACCATTTCCTTCCTCTTAAAGTTTGTGTTGAGTAGAAATTTGGTAGTTAATTGATTAATTATATTAATGAATAGTGACACAATTCTGTATTAGATTATGAGGATACAGTTACAAGTTTGTTCTTTTTTTTTTTTTTTTTTTGGAGAGACAAGGGTCGTTGCTCTTGTCATGTAAGGGGCGCTGGAGTTTTGCAAGTCGGCACGAATCTGTGCCTCGGCCTCACTGCAGCTTGACCTTGCCCAGGTCAAGCAGTGATGCCTCCCAGAGTAACTGTGGGGGATTTCGGGTGGCACGGGCCACGGTATGCTGTTCTCCGTTGCCTGGCTCTATTTTTTGTATATGTTTTGAGATAGACGAGGGTGGTAGCAATGTTGCCCAGTGGCTCCTTGCAAACTGTCCGGGACCTACTGGGCGCAAACGTGTTCCACCCAGCCTTCTTCATGGTAACTGTGGTATAAGGCATAAGCCCAGCTGTGTCCCACTAAAAACTAAGTAAAGTCAAAACTCATTACTTATTTGCATATTATTCATCTATACTCTCGCAGGGTGTAGTAGTGTGGGTTGCAGTAAGCTGTGGGGAGTAACGAGAGTGTGGGTTGTATTAATAATATTATTTAGATGTAAGAAAGCAATTATAGCTTCTGCTAAAGACAAATGTTATTCAATTCTTTTCTGTTTGATTTTTGACCATTTCTGATATGATAAAAGGGTTCAAAATGAAGTCTCTAAGGACTTCATTCTCAGTCATTTGATTTCTCATACCAGAGGAGTGTGATTTGGTGACGACTACAGTTTCTGGACACTCTCACTTATTTTGCCATTAGTACGGCATTTTTGGCGGTTATTAAAGAATTTGGTAGTACGAAAAATGATGGATGATTCAAGTTGGAGTGATTGGAGATGATATATTAGGCACGAGGTGGCAGTAGACCACAACTTAAATATTTATTTTAGTTTCGCAAGGAGGTAGAATTGATTATGGGTTTAGTATATGGAGCAGTTTTTATTTGTGTTTCCTCATTCATAGCTTGTAATTACAAAAGAGTGCCTCTTGGATCTACTTGGATATTTTTTGGAAGCATGTGTTTTTAATCCATTTCGTACGTGCGGACATCAATAATTGATGTCTTTTCCAGGGTTGCCTACTAATACTCGAGGACTAGGTAAATAATGGTAGGGAAGGATGGCTATTCTTTTGATGGGAGACGCGTTTTGGACTATCATATCGATATTGAAGTCATGAGAGTGGGATTGCGAGGTAAGTCGTTTTAAATCTTTTCTGTCGCCCCCGCTAAAATGTTTTTCATTCGGGTCGACATGGTTGGACTTGGGACTTGGGTACTTCAGAGTTGTTTCGTATTGCGAACTCAACTTTCAAGAAAGAATGATGCCCGGCATGCGCCGATATGGCTCAGCCTGTGAATCCCAGCACTTTGGGAGGCCGAGACGAAGCGATCACGGCGGTTCAGGGAGATTGAGACCCATCGCGGGCTAACCACCGGGTGAAGAACCTCGTCTCTACTAAAAATACAAACAAAACCGAGGGGCGGGCTGAGGTGGCGCTGCGGCGCCTGTCGAGTCCGCAAGCTATTGGGCGATGAGGCACAGGAGAATGGCGCAAACCCGGGAGGCGGAGCTTGCAGTGAGCTGAGATCCGGCCACTGCACTCCAGCCCGGGCTACAGAGCAAGACTCCGTCTCAAAAAAAAAAAGAATGATGCAAAATGTGGAATGCTTGGTTTTTGGTATCTGAAATACCATTCCTTCCCGCTGAAGGCTTAACATTGATTATAATAAACTTTGGGAGATCTTAGATGTAGCAGTATAGTGAATATATTTGTCTTATCATTGTTGATGTTAACCTTGATCATTTGGTTGAGATGGTGTCTGCTGGGTCTTTCCACTGTAAAGTCATTATTTTTTCCTTTGTAATGAAAAATATTTTGGCAGATATTTTGAGACTATGTAAACATCCTATCCTCAGATTTTTACCTATCAGTTTTAGTATCCACCAGAGAATCTTGCCCACAACAATTATTAAGATGGTATTCTAATGACAAATTTTCCATTTCCCTCATTTTTTTTCTTATTAAATAACTGGAATTCTTCTATAGAGAGGAGTTGTCCCTTCTCCTTCATGAATTTGTTCATTTTGTCATTTATTAATATTAGAACTGTTAGCCCATAGCCTTGTAAAAAACAAATGTACTAGAGTATAATATTTTGTGTACAGTTCTTTTTGTCTTTAGCATTATAGTATCTAGTCAGATAACCAAAGTAATTTAGGTTAAGTCCTTTTCCTCTCCGCACCTTTCAAACAGAATGGTAACATAGCATATATATTGTTCTGCACCGTACTTTGTTCACCTAACATTATCTTGGAGCCAGTTCCAAATTCATGTATAGAGATAAGTCTTGTTCTTTTTTTCTTAATTGTGATAAAATATATATAACACAAAATTTACCATTTTCAGCATTTTTAAGTGAACAGTTAGTACACTCATCTTGTTGTGTAACCAGTACTATAGTTTATCTCCAGAACTTTTTTGCCTTAAAGTCTATATCCATTAAACAATAACTCTCCATGCTGTAACTACCTCTAGTCCCTGGCAACCACCATTCTACTTCTGTCTGTGAATTTGACTACTCTCAGGTACCTCTGAAGAGATATAAGGAAAAAACCCAAAATGTTTTTTCTAGTCTTTACTGTCTACCCTCACAGAGTCATTCAACACTTCACTTCTTTTTTGTTTTGTTTTAGGGACAGGGTCTCTCTCGGTTGTTCAGGCTGATCTTGAACTCCTGGCCTCAAGCAATCCTCCCACCTCAACCTCCCGAGTAATGTGAGCCATCATGTCCAGCTCCAACATTTCACTTCTGACACCATATGTGTTGGGGCTATTTCCCTATACATCAGGCGGTTTTCTGGTGGATACCAGCTGGGTATCCTCTAATTGAATTCAGTTCTGACACTGTCTCCCTGGAGATAAGGTGTCACATCCCGCTGGTTGCGGGCCTGTAATCCTAACACTTTGGGAGGCTGAGGAGAGTGGATCACAAGTTCAGGAGATTGAGACCATCCTTGCTAACACAATGAAACCCCGTCTCTACTAAAAAAAAAAAAATACAAAAAAATTAGCCGGGCGTGGTGGCAGGTGCCAGCTACTAGAGAGGCTGAGGCAGGAGAATGGCATGAACCTGGGAGGCGGAGATTACAGTGAGCCAAGATCACGCCACTGCGCTCCACTGGGCAACAGAGCGCGACTCCGTCTCAAAAAAAAAAAAAAAAAAAAAGGTATCACATCCTACAGTTTGAGGGCTCAGTCCCACAAGACTGACCCCCCCCACCTCAACTTCAGATGCCACTCCCAAGCTCAGGTTGTGACCTGTGCTTCTGACCAACCAGCTGTAAGTCAGGGTTCCCACAACCCCCTCCTCAGGTTTAGTTAGTTTGCTAGAGTGGCTCACAGAACTCAGGGAAACACTTCACTTATGCTTGTTGGTTTGTTATAAAGGATATAGATGAACAGCCAGATGGAAGAGATGTATAGGGCAAGGCATGTGGGAAGGGATTGGAAGCTTCCATACCCTCTCCAGATGTGCCGCCCTCCAGGAAGCTCCACATATTCAGCTATCTGGAATCTCCTCTGAACCCTGTCCATTTCAGATTCTTGGAGGCCTCATTATGCAGGCATGATTGATTAAATCATCGGTGATCAGTTTAACCTTCAGCATCTCTCCCCTCCCCAAGGTTGGAACTGAAAGTTCCAACCTTTTAATATCATGGTTGTTCCCCTGGCAACTAGTCTCCATTCTGAGGCTATCTTAGGAGCCCATTGAGAGTCATATCATTAGAACTAAAGTTGCTATCACACAGGAAATTCCAAGGGATTTAGGATTTGTATGCCAGGAAACAGGGACAAAAACCAAGTATATATTTCATCATATCACAGTACCTCATATAAGTGGAATCATACAGTTTTTATCCTTTTGATAAGCGTATTATTTAACATAATGTCTTCAAGGTTGAACCATGTGTCAGAATGCATTCTGTCTTAATGGCTGCATGACATTCCATTGCATGGGTGTGCCATAGTATAATTAGCAAATTTGCTATTAATGGAGTTTTAGGGTATCTCCTATCATTTGCAGTTATCAGTAGTGCCACAGTAGACTTTTGTCTATATGTACAGTTGTTTGTCAGATCAATTCCTAAAAGTGAAATTGATAAAACAGAGAATATACTTTCACTTTAAATATAGTTATTTCCAGATTTCCCTCTAAAGAGGCTGTACTAATATTATTCTTCCACTAACAAAACACTGTCAAAACATTAAAACGACCTTCCAGCACTTACCTTTAGTGTATGATTTTAAGAGTTTGCCTTTGGATTTTTTCCTTTTTTTTTTTTGAGACGGAGTCTTGCTCTGTTGCCCTGGCTGGAGTACAGTGGTACAATCTTGGCTCACTGCAACCTCTGCCTGCCGGGTTCAAGTGATTCTCCTGCCTCAGCCTCCTGAGTAGCTGGGATAACAAGCATACACCACCATGCCCAGCTAATTTTTGTATTTTTAGTAGAGACAGAGTTTCACCATGTTGGTCAGGCTGGTCTCGAACTCCTGACCTTGTGATCTACCGGCCTCGGCCTCCCAGAGTTCTGGGATTACAGGCGTGAGCCGCCATGCCCGGCTCCAGTTTGGTTTTTTTTTTTTTTTGGTTGACTAGCAGTCTGTGAAGCACCAGAGGCCAGAAAGTTGTCCTTTAAACACAGGAAACAATATAAAACTTTAATTTTCCTAAATTTTGACCTATGCTATTTCTCTTTAGGTCCTAGCCATAAATATCCTGGGTCGTTTCTTATTGAACAATGACAAGAATATTAGGTAAGTCAACTGAAATATGTCTTTTATCTTGGGTATTGTAAGCCCAGTATTTTAAGAGTGATTTTGCTCAAGATTACACACGTATTGAGTCACATATCTAGAACTTATAGCTCAGAATTTTTATGTTTTTCTGGTCTTAACACTACAGTTTTGTAAAGACTTGAGGATTTGTCTCATGGCATATAGTCCTATTTGTTCTGTAAATCGGGAGTCAGCAGAATTTTTCTGTAAAGGGTCAGGTGGTAAGTATTTTAGACTTTATGGGCCATGGAGTCTTTGGTAACTACTTACCTCTGCCCCTTAGCATGAAATTAGCCATAGACAATATGTCAATGATGAGTGTGGCTGTGCTGAATAAAATTGATTTACATCAAACTTGGGAACTAGTATGAAAAAAATATTTTGATATACAAAAACAGCAGAGACCTGGATTTTACAGGTAGGCTATAGTTTGTTGACTGACCCCTGCTCTAAATTAAGAAAAATGTAACATTTCAGGTAGCAAATCTGGAATGTCTTTGTGAACTCCAGATAGTTGTTAGCTAGTTTTTTAGGTAAATGAATTGATCAGTATTATCTTTTATTTTGGTGTTTTCCTGTATGTAGTACGTATTCCTGCTTACCTGTTTTTCTAATCAGGAGAAGTTTTTCTTATATTAAACATGAAAAGATGTGGAAGCTAGGTGCAGTATCTCACACCTGTAATGCCAACACTTTGGGAGGCAGAGATGGGTAGATCATGAGCCCATGAGTTCGAGACCAGCCTGGGCAAGATGGCAAACCCTATCTCTACAGAAAAATACAAAAATGAGCCAGGTGGCTTGGTGGTGTGCACCTGTAGTCCCAGCTACTCTGGAGGTTGAGGTGGGAGGATCACCTGAACCCAGGAGGTTGAAGCTGCAGTGAGCCGTGATCATGCCACTGCATTCCAGTCTAGGTGACAGAATGAGACCCTGTTTTTGTTTTTTTTTTCTCTCTCTTGAGACAGAGTTTTGCTCTTGTTGCCCAGGCTGGAGTGCAGTGGCGCAATCTTGGCTCACTGCAACCTCCGCCCCCTGAGTTCAAGTAATTCTTTTGTCTCAGTCTCCCGAGTAGCTGGGTTTACAGGCGCACGTCACCACGTCCCGCTAGTTTTTTGTATTTTTAGTAGAAATGGGGTTTCACCATGTTGGCTGGGCTGGTCTCTAACTCCTAACCTCAGGTAATCCACCTGCCTCGTCCTCTTGAAGTGCTGGGATTACAGGCAGTGAGCCACTGCACCTGGCTGAGACCCTGTTTCAAAAAAAAAAAAAAAAGATGTGGAAATAATTATTGTGGCATCCTGAATTATCTTCTCCTTCTAAAGAACACTTGGATTGCCAGGCGCGGTGGCTCACACCTGTAATACTAAGTAGCACTTTGGTAGGCTAAGGTGGTAGGAACGCTTGAGCCCAAGAGTTTGAGACCAGCCTGGGCAACATAGCGGGGGACTCCATCTCTATTAAAAAATAAATACATGAGTAAAATTTTAAATCTTAACATACTAAGTTAAACACGTGGATTTTAAACTCAAATTTTTATAGAGGCAGTTTTGGTACCAGTATCATATAAAAGCAGAGAAAACTCAAATGGTAAAATTAAAATTGCATTATGGGGCAAAGGCAGCCTTAAAAGGCATATTATATGCTCTCTTTGTTTTACTATTTGGAAAACTTTAAAAGAATTGAGTCAATCACTTCTATTTATTTTATATTTAATTTAATTTAATTTATTTTTTTTTGAGATAGAATCTCGCTCTGTTGCTTAGGCTGGAGTGCAGTGGCATGATCTCGGCTCACTGCAAGCTCAGCCTCCTGAGTAGCTGGGACTACAGGCGCATGCCACCACGCCCGGCTAATTTTTTGTATTTTTAGTAGAGACGGGATTTCACCGTGTTAGCTAGGGTGGTCTTAATCTCCTGACCTCATGATCCGCCTGCCTTAGCCTCCCAAAGTGCTGGGATTATAGGCTTGAGCCACTGCGCCCAGCCCCAATTTTATTTTTTTTGAGACAGACTCTCGCTCTGTCGCCCAGGCTGGGGTGCAATGGCGTGATCTCAGCCCACTGCAACCTCAGCCTTCCATGTTCAAGCAATTCTCGTGCCTCAGCCCCCCAAGTAGCTGGGACTACAGGCACCTGACACCCATGTGCCCGGCTAATTTTTATATTTTTGGTAGAGATAGGGTTTCACCATGTTGGCCAGGCTGGTCTTGAACTCCTGACCTCAGGTATCCGCCCGCCTTGGCCTCCCACAGTGCTGGGATTACGGGTGTGAGCCACCATGCCCGGCCTACTTTTAGAAGTTTAAATGGACTTGACCATGAATGCAAATCTAAAATCCAGAGCTTCTCCTGGTTGCTGTTATTTTAGATTATGGTATCGCTTATACCTTTGAAATGTTACTTTTATGCTCACTAACTTTCTTTTAAATATTTAAAAATGTGTGCTTTCTCTTATCCATTAGACGTCTTTCTGTTATTTAAACAGAGAAAAACTATCCCGAATTTTACATTTTAACTCTGTTATTTTGCAACTGTTTCATCTAGATACGTGGCTCTGACATCTTTGTTGAAGACTGTACAGACAGATCATAATGCAGTACAGAGGCACAGAAGCACAATTGTGGACTGTCTTAAAGATTTGGATGTCTCAATAAAACGGTAACAAACTGAGAGCCTTTCTCAGTCTAGTGCTTTTGGTAAATTGAGTGACAGATTATTGATAGTTCTGTGCCCCTGCCATGTGATACTTTGTAATAGTTTTCAGAGCAAGAGTGTTGACATTTGTGTATTTAGTCATTGTGTTCATAGATGGACTCTGCTGAGTGAATCCTTTTTTAGAAAGGATTGGCAGGGAGAAGTTTAGGTTATTAAGGAGGCCAATAAGAATACTTAAGTGCACACTGAAGTTGTCCTTGGCTCTTTGATAAGTATAACAGGCACAGAGTATCTTGGCAAAAGTTTACCTAAGGGAGGTACTGTGCTTTGTGTGTTGGAGGATGAAAGTACGGAGTGATCCATCGGCTAAGTGTCTTATCACAATGCTGACACTCAAACTGCTGACAGCACACGTTTTTCACAGTACTTACCCCCCAGGATCCTGAAGGCAGCGTGTTTCTTAGAACAGTGTGTCCTGAAATGACTGTTAGGCAGCAGATAGCACTCTCAAAAAGCATAAATCCCTTCCCTTAATGGAGTAATTCTACTGGATCTCTTCTTACAACTCTAGGTGTTTGTAGAACCTAGCTAAAGTTGGCCTCTGAACTTTTGGTTGTATGTTCAAATCTAGAACAAAGTATATTTAAAGCGATCTCTGAAACCATTCAGTCAACAAACATTTATTGATGCTGAGTTCCTTTGATTTACACAGAACAGGTACAAATAAAAGGTGCTAAGTACTTGAGCAATCTATAGATAAGACCTAAACTTAATAACACCAACTTTTATGTAGCACTTTGCAAAAGATTTTTTAAGTACCCTCTCAGTGGGTTCTCAGAGCAAGCCAATGAGAGAGCCTAAGCAACTACTTCTATCCCTAATTAACAGGTTAGTTAAAATTCAGTCCCACAGGGATCAAATGACTTAACCTAAACCTTAATCCTTGTAAGGGGCAGTCCTGGGAATAGATAGTAGCCTTCTGACTCTTTTTGTGTTGTTTCTCTCTAGCTCATTACTGGGTTGTGAATTTCAAAAGAAGTGAAACCTGTGTCTCTTTGACAGGATATATAACAGTAAGAGCTTAGATTCTGGAGCCAGACTGCCTCATTTCATATTCTGACTCTGCCTTTGATAGACTAGGTCAAATTACTTAAACTTTCAGTGCCTCAATTGCCTCATAAGTAAAATGCAGATAGAAGGGCAACCACTTCATAGGGTTATGCAGGATAAATTGAATTAATATATGTAAATTACATAAGCACCCTATAAGTTATTATATCTAAGGATTGAATTTTTGCTACTTATATGTTAGCTTAGCTAAGATGAAAGTATCCGCTACTTGTTAATTTTTTATTGTTTTTTGGAGACGGAGTCTTGGTCTGTTGCTCAGGCTGGAGTGTGGTGGCGCGAACTTGGCTCACGGCAACTTCCGTCTTCTGAGTTCAAGCGATTCTCCTGTCTCAGCCTCTTAAGTACCTGGAATTACAGGCGCCTGCCACCACACCCAGCTAATTTTTATATTTTTAGTAGAGACGGGGTTTTGCCACGTTGGCCAGGTTGGTCTTGAACTCCTGACCTCAGGTGATCTGCCCGCCTTGGCCTCCCAAAGTGCTGGGATTACAGGCGCGACCCACTGTGCCCAGCCTAAGTTGTTACTTTTGAAAGTCAGTGTACATACAGTGTTTGATATTATTGACCAAGTATGGAAAGATGCATATAGTAACCTTACAACTTTTACATGTTAAACATTCCTATTTTTCATTGCATTGCCAACTTTGAATAGGCAGTTGTAGAAACTCTTATTTGTCCTCATAGCACATGCCATTTTTTTTCCTTCTCATGGCCCTCATTTTCCCTTTGAAATTTTCTTTTTTTTTTTTTGAGACAGAGTCTCACTCTGTTGCCCAGGCTGGAGTCCCTTGCCTCACTGCAATCTCTGTATTCCGGGTTCAAGCAGTTCTCCTACCTCGGCCTCCCTAGTAGCTGGGACTACAGGCACCCACCACCATGCCTAGCTAATTTTTGTATTTTTAGTACATAAGTGGTTTCACCATTTTGGCCATGCTGGTCTCAAGCTCCTGACCTCAGGTGATTCGCCCACCTTGGCCTCCCAAAGTGGTGAGAAAACAGGTGTGAGCCACTGTGCTCGGCCTTGAATTCAGTTTTTAGTCTGAATTTCTGCATACCTTTTGATAGAAACTATGTTACATCATCTTTGGACAGAGTAGGGTGTAATAAAAGTAGAATATGGTGACTTCACATGTCACATTTTTAAGGAATGAGGCAGATTGGGTAATACATTTGTTGCCCCTCTTTTTGAGACTCTTAGGTATTCTAACTTCCACATTTGTAGAACAGCCTGTTGAACCCAAACTGCATGTTTGGAGTTTAGTGGTATATCTCATAGGGACTTTTGAGGAAAAATATTGCATGAAGATTCAAAATATCAAAACTAACTTTGATTACATAAAAATACATCTCCTTGGTATCTCATAGGGACTTTTGAGGAAAAATATTGCATGAAGATTCAGAATATCAAAACTAACTTTGATTACATAAAAATACATCTCCTTGGTTATTTTGTGTGCAAAGATTGGGATCACAAGATTGTGCAAGGACGTTAGCACATCTGGCAGTGCTTGGTGTTCACAGAGTACATACCTGGGTCTTTGTTTCATTTCCACTATAAATTTTGTAACTGTTTTTAATTTTTCCCTTTTGCAAGGCGTGCAATGGAATTGAGTTTTGCCCTGGTAAATGGGAATAATATCCGAGGCATGATGAAAGAATTACTTTATTTTCTGGATTCCTGTGAGCCAGAATTTAAAGCAGACTGTGCATCTGGAATCTTTCTTGCTGCAGAAAAGTAAGATTTAATTTTTACCTTTATTGGTAAAGTCTGCTTGGAACTTTTGGAAGTGTCTTTAAAACATGGGGAGGGGGCTGGATGCGGTGGCACACACCTGTGGTCAGCAGTTTGGGAGGCCAAGGCAGGCGGATCACGAAGTCAGGAGTTTGAGACCAGCCTGGCCAACGTGGTGAAATGCTGTCTCCATTAAAAATACAAACATTTGTTGGGCCTGGTGGCGCGCGCCTGTATTCCCAGCTTCCCAGGAGGCTGAGGCAAGAGAATCACTTGAACCTCGGAGGCAGAGGTTGCAGTGAGCCGAGATTATGCCACTGCACTCCAGCCTAGGTGACAGAGCAAGACTCCATCTCAAAAACAAAACAAAACCAACAACAACAAAAAAAAATGGGGAAACGACTGTAAATATGTTTAAAACACATAACATTTATTTCAAGCTCTCAGCTGAGACCAAAAAAATTTTACACTTTTATGAAATCTTCTCGTTTTTCTGTTCTTTAACCTCTCATCTCTGATGCTGTTTTTTGTTTTGTTTTGGTTTATTTGTTTTGGTATTTTTTTTTGAGACAGGGTCTTACTTTGTCACCTAGGCTGGAGTGCAGCGGCACGATCTCCCAGCTCGCTTCAACCTTGACCTCGCCAGGTTCAGGGGATCCTCCTGCCTCAGCCCCCCAGGTAGCTGGGACTACAGGTGTACGCCACCACACCCTGCTAATTTCTGTTTTTTTTTTTTTTTTTTTGTAGAGATGGGGTTTCACTATGTTGTCCAGGCTGGTCTCGAACTCCTGGACTCAGGCGATCCGCCTGCCTCAGCCTCCCAAAGTGCTAGGATTATAAGCGTCAGCCACCACACCTGGCCTATAGTGCTGTTTTAATAAAGGGAATAGAAAAGTTACAACATCTGAATTGCTGCTCTATGCAGAATTTTGAGGAAGTACCTTATGATTTTAGTAGTATAGCTTTTCTTTCTCTTCTTTCCACTCTGAATTTAAGGAAACAAGTTTTTAGTTCTAATGTTGTTGTCTTGGTCTGAAAACAGTTCGTTTTTTTCTTTGTTCTTTATCCTCTCCTGCCCTGACTGAATGATCATTTTCTCTGAAACTGAAAACAAATCTCATTTCTCAACTTAGCGACTCTTATTGCGATCTTATAAACACAGTACAAACTCCCGTGGCGTTTTAAAAAATGGTGCCAAGCATGCTGGAGGGGCAGGCCAGCAAGTCTGCACCTGGGGACTTCTGCTGCTTAACCACCTTCTGCCTCAGCCTCCTGAGTAGCTGGGACTCATAGTGCGCAAATCATCATGTCCATAATTTTTAATTTTTTATTTGTAGAGATGGGGTCTTGGCGTGTTGCCCAGGTTTTCCTGAACCCTAGCCTCAAGTCCCACTCCCTTCCTCCCTTGGGTCCTCCGCAATAGTACTGGGATTATAGGCATGACCACTGAACAGGACGATGACCAGTTTGTACACTCTCAAAATGGATGTGTGGCTAGATTTGAATTTTGAAATTCCAACACACCAACCTGAAAAACTGTAACAGATTCTGTTCTTCTTCTTCGCTACAGTGAGCTCCACAAGCCTCAACCCCAGCACAGGCACCGCCAACCCACCGCCCAGAGTGAGCAAGCACCCACCACCACACCAGCAATTTGTTTGACAGTCACATGTCGCACCTCGAACTCCTTGACTCAAGGGATCTCCCACCTCGGCCTCCCAAAATGCTGGGATCACAGGTTGAGCACCCCGTGCAGCATCACAAAACAGTATATTGCTGGTATCCAATTGTCCCGTTTCCTCATTGGTTTTTTTCAGGTATTGCCACCCTTTTTGTCCCCCCCAAACGATGCATATAGGACATACAATTTATGCGTGTTTTGACAACGGTAAGTACTGCACGCCACAACAACAGCCCTGAATAAATGTGCATACAAATCCTTGTTATCGTGACGGTTGATGTTGTAAGTCAGAGTAAGATAAACGGAAGCGTAAATAGAAAATTGAACTGTGCAGGTTAAAGAATAAATGCCATGAAGCAAACCTAAAGCAGCCAGGGAGGAGATATAATGGATGGCAGGATAAGGCTGGAGTATAGGGCAAGCTGGCAAGTGTTTTAGATTAGAGTAGTCAGGGAGGTCTCTCAGAGGAGGATTAACGACATAACTATTTGAGTTAGAGACTTTAGAGACGTGACGGTACGAGCCATGCAGAGATCTTGACGGAATAAGTGTACCATACAGAGGGAGCACGCTAATTGTGCAAAGACCCGGAGGTGGACGCAAGCATGGCTTGCTTGGAGAGCAACGAAAGGCAACGTAAAACGTGGTAAAATAGTGAGAGAGGCAGAGAATGGTAGGAAGGATGTCGGAGACATAAGCAGGGCAGACTATGTAGGCGTCATGGAGCTTGCATTTTATTTTGATATGTTAGGAAGGCATTGCAGGGTTTTGAAATGGCTAAAGTTACTCCAGGATTTGAAATCCTGTTTTGGGTGGGATCCTTTCTTGGCATTCTTGCAGAAATTTGGGTTTCTGTGTTTATTATTCAATTAGTAGACCGGCATTAGGTATTTAAGAGTAAAAATCGCAAGTGCAGTGACAGTAAGAAAAAAACCATTTCCATCTAATTAAGTCACTACAAGTAGATACTGTAAAGTCACAAATTTAACCTATTTAAAATTAAAAACTTGAATAACAAAAAGGAAACAGTCTACAGATTTAAAAGGCAAATAAGGCCCGGCGCGTGGCTCAAGCCTGTAATCCCAGCACTTTGGAGCTGAGAATGGGCGGATCACGAGGTTCAGGAGATCGAGACCATCCTGGCTAACACGGTGAAACCCCATCTCTACTAAAAATACAAAAAACTAGGCGGGCGAGGTGGCGGGCGCCTGTAGTCCTAGCTGCTTGGGAGGCTAAGGCAGGAGAATGGCGTGAACCCGGGAGGCGGAGCTTGCAGTGAGCTGAGATCGCACCAGTGCACTCCAGCCTGGGTGACAGAGTGAGTCTCCGTCTCAAAAAAAAAAGTAAATAAATAAATAAAAAATTTTAAAAAAGGCAAATTAACAGCTGGGGAAAAAGTGAGGTATCATTTTTTCACATTTCATAATTTTTAATCTAATTCCCAGTATTAGAAAATAGAGAAACAGGCAGTATTCTTCACTTTATGGGAGTGTAGGATGATGCCATCTTTTTACTGTGCAGTTTGGTGGTATGTAGAAAAAACCTTAAATTGTACCCTTTGATTAATTAATTCAATTTTTAGGACTTTAGCCTGAAAAAATAATAGGACAAGTACACAAAAATGTGTACGTAAAAGTATTCATCCTAATCTTGTTTATAGTAGGAGAAAACCGGAAACAACTAGTAGTTCCCAAATGGGGATTAAGTAAATTATGAAACATCTGTAGGGAGAGAATGATATCATTGAAATTATGACTTATGTATTTGTTGACATGAAATTATGACTTATATGTATTTGTTGCTGTGGAATTCTCTCTGGGGTGTACTCACGTTTTAGTTTACTTAAAATGAATTAACTTGGTAAAAGGTTAAAAGTTAATAAATTATATTAACAAGGGGAAAAATTATAATCTAACAAAATGTAATGAACATAATGATGAATCAGGACATATTTTCCTAGTTTTCACGAGGCTCAAAAGAAGGGAGAAATGGGCTCTCCTGAAGGAAAGTGTTTATAAGAATTCAAAACCTTTTTAAATATGCCCCTGATTTTATTTTTCTAATTGACTTGTGTTCTCTTATTATGATCATGTGATTTGTTTTCTTTAGTCTGTTATGTGCTGGGTTACATTGATATTTGAATGCCTAACCAGCCTTACATACCTGGGATACATGGTCAGAGTGTATATTTTTTTTTATATATTTGTTGGGTTTGATTTGCTAATATTTTGTTATTTTTATATCTATATTCATGAGAGAGATTGGCCTATAGTTTTCTCTTATAAAGTTGTTTTTGACTCGTGTTATTTAGAAGTATGTTCTTTTAATCTCCAAATATTTTGGCATTTTTTTGCAGCTGTCTTTGTGTTGCAGATTTCTAGTTTAATTCTGTGTGGTCTAAGAACATATTTTGTATGATTTATGTTCTTTGAAATTTGTTAAGATATTTTTTGTGACCCAGAAGGTGGTCTTTCTTGGTTCATTGTTAAGTTTGAGAAAAATGTGTATTCTGCTGCTGTTGAATGAAGCAGTCTTATTATACATGCCCATTAGATCACCCTGATGCTTTCTTGTATTTAATGCACTCTGCTTTAGGGAAGGATGTAAATAAGCTATACTGCAAATTACCTGCTTTTTAGCTTCTCACCTTTCCTTTTGACCATTTTCCCAAAATTCTTCCTCTTTGTGTTTCTTAACCGTAGTGGTCTGATAAAACCATGATCACCTAGCTGTTTTTTGTTTGTTTGTTTGTTTTTTCCTTTCCAAAATACACATGGTTAGGACTGGTCTCAGTCTTATAAATTAAATCTGTTGTTCTATTTAGGAATGGGAGATTGACCAAGGTTGGGTGATAAAGTTTTAAACCTTTACATCATCATCATCATCAGTAGTAGTAGTAGTAGTAGTAGTAGTAGTAGTAGTAGTACTAGTAGTGGTAGTAGTAGTAGTAGTAGTAGTGATGGAGTCTTGTTGTGTGGCCCAGGCTTGTGTCAAACTCCTGGCCTCAAGCAGTCCTCTTGCTTCAGCCTCCCAAAGTGCTGGGATTACAGGTGTGAGCCACTGTGCCCAGTCTTGCTTTTAATTTGGACAAAGAGAAAATTTTTAAAAATAAAATTTAAAAATTTAACATATTTAAGTAAGAGTTTGAAGTTTGAGCTGTTATGAACCTGAGAATTGGAACCAAATTTATCTTTGAGGGTGTTTTGTAGAATTCTTCTTTTAAAAGCAACAATAATAGCTGGGCGCAGTGGCACACGCCTGTAATCCCAGCACTTTGGGAGGCCAAGGCAGGTAGATCATCTGAGGTCAGGAGTTGGAGACCAGCCTGACCAACGTGGTGAAACCCCATCTCTACTAAAAATAGAAAAATTAGCCAGGCATGGTGGCATGCACCTGTAGTCCCAGCTATTTGGGAGGCTGAGGCATGAGAATCACTTGAACCTGGGAGGTGGAGGTTGCAGTGAGCCAAGATCGCGCTTTTGTACTTCAGCCTGGGTGACAGAGCGAGACTCTGTCTCAAAAAAAGAAAGAAAGAAAGAAAAAAGAAACACACAGTAATAATAATAGCTAACACTTGTTATCATCACTGCTGTGTGTTTCTAGGGGTAATTGTCTGCATTTCCTTTTAGGCAGGAAGTTATGTTCGTGATGATGCAGTCCCCAATTTAATCCAGTTAATAACTAACAGTGTGGAGATGCATGCCTATACTGTCCAGCGCCTGTACAAAGCAATTCTTGGTGATTATTCTCAAGTAAGTACTTCATTCAGCTATTTTAGCTAAGGGATAATTTTACTCTCAAATTTTCTGGTATATTTTTCTTCTTTTTTTTCCCCCTCCTCTCTCCCCTTTGGTATGTCTTTATTTCTAATACTCTAGATATGCACAGTTTTGATCTTTATTATGAGATGACCTATTATTCGCATTAAATGACTTTGGAAAAATTGAAGTCCTTGAGAAATGTTGACTTTTCTTTTCACAGCAACCTTTGGTACAAGTGGCTGCATGGTGTATAGGTGAATATGGTGATCTTCTTGTATCTGGCCAGTGTGAAGAGGAAGAGCCTATTCAGGTACTCCTTGTCACTCTTGGTTAAGTGGGGGAAAATAGTGGTTTTGGTTATAGGAGAGTAGTGTTTAATGGGGAGTTGAGGTTGATTCCTTGAAAACTTTTTAGGCCAGGTGTGGTGGCTCATGCCCATAATCCCAGCACTTTGGGAGGCTGAGATGGAAGCATTGCTTGAGCCCAGGAGTTTGAGACCAGCCTGGGCAACATGGTGAAACTCTGTCTCTACAAAAGACACAAATATTAGCCAGGTATGATGGTATCTAGTCCCAGCTACTCAGGAGTGAGACCCTGTCTCAAAATATTTTTAAAAATATCCAACTTTTCAAAGAATCGAACTAGAATTATATTGGAAAACCTGCCAATTTTTGAAACGGAACTTATTGAGCCATTGTGAGATTTTTTTTTTTTTTTTTTTTTTTAAAAAAAGACAGAGTCTCACTCTGTCACCCAAGCTGGAGTTCCGTGGCAGGATCACAACTCACTGCAGCCTTAATCTCCTGGGTTTCAAGCGATCTTCCCACCTCAGCCTCCTAAGTAGCTGGTACTATAGGCACTCACCACCATGCCTGGCTAATTCTACTTTTTGTAGAGACAGGATTTCACCATGTTGCCCAGGCTGGTCTTGAACACCTGGACTCAAGCAGTCTGCCTGCCTTGGCCTCTCAAAGTGTTGAGATTAACAGACGTGAGCTACTTTGCCCGGCCCCATTGTAAGATTTTAAAACCACTTTAGACCCAACTCTCTGTCCTAGTGGACTGAATTAATTGTTTCTCTTACCTTCTGACTGATAAACAGGAAGAAATGAGACATGTGTCTGTGTTCTTATTGGCACATTAAAGGACTGGCTTTAAAAGGGAAAATTGTGGCAACAGCACTTGAACTCTGTATGTTTTTCTTTTCTTCTTCTGTTTCTGCCACTTGAAGTTCTAATATTACTTCTTAGCCCCAATGGTCATTTTTCACTCTTTTTACCCTCACCTGCTCTAGTTGATAGAACCAGAGCACTTTTTTTTACCCCCACCTACTCTGTTAATAGAACAGCTTGGACAGTTACCCTAGTAAAGCACAGGTTGAGTTAGAGGCTTTTGTAATGGTAGGATTGTCTTTCTGGCTGCATCCACTGACTTAATACCAGATATAGATGCTTAATCGTGCTACTCATTCTTCATTGTCTTCTTTTTCCTCCTCCTCCTCAGGTAACAGAGGATGAAGTATTGGATATTTTAGAAAGTGTCCTAATCTCTAATATGTCCACCTCTGTGACACGAGGTTATGCCCTCACTGCCATTATGAAGCTTTCTACTCGATTCACTTGTACTGTAAAGTGAGTATTGAAGAAACATAGGGTGAACAGGTTTTGTAATTAAAAACAAAACAACAAAAAAAACTTGACATCCTGGAAAATTTCAAGCATAACAAAAGTAGAGGGAATAATAACACAAATTTGCATTACTTATTTCTCAACCGTCACAATGATCAATTAATAGTTAATCTTTATTCATCAGCACTTTGTTCCCTCTCATTCTTTTACTCCCTTGTGGATTATTTTGAAGCAAAAAAGTTAGGGAGTTTTGTTTGTTTGTTTGTTTGTTGAGACAGGGTCTCGCTCTCTTACCCAGGATGGAGTGCAGTGGTGCCATCATAGTTTACTGCAACCTTGAACTCCTGGGCTTAAGGGATCTTCCTGTCTCAGCCTCCCGAGGAGCTGGGACTACAGGTGCACACTTGCAGTAACCGAGATCTGCACCACTGTGTACCGCAGCCTGCGGGGTGGAACAGAGCAGGACTCTGTCCTCCAAAAAAAAAAACCTAA